GATATGACAGACGCACTTTCTTCATCAACTTTTCGCTTTGATCCTTTTCTTTCTCTCTGCCTTTTACATCGATTTATTCCATTATTTCAATCTCCCATATGCAATTATTTCGGCCTCTCGTATGCAATCATTTCACCATAAGTTTTCGCATCATACCAGAGATTTGTATTCAGTTATAACATTCTGTTTTGCTATATCATTCCTTGACTTATTATTCCATTCATATGTTTTTCATTATACCATTCTTGTTTTTGGTTAAACCATCGTTTTACCGTTTTTACAGTGATTGTTCGTCATGTATACAAATTTAACCTTCAGTTATACCATAGTTTTGTTTTCATTCACAGGTTTTTGGTTTTCGGTTATATCATTTTTATTTTCACTTATACCATTCCTTTGTGTTCACTAATACCATTGTTTTAACTTCAGTTATACCAGGATATTTTCTTCTTTTATACCATTCTTCTTTTTCTTTTCTACCATTATTTGTTATTTAACGATTTCATTTTTGGGTTTTACTGATTTCTATCAACATTTTTCCATCATATTCAGTCTTTTACCATTTAACATCTGATTTGCAAAACTATATTTTTTTAAGAAAATCCGAAGCAGTGATATTACGAATCTTGAATAAACTCACTTGTTAACGACATGCTTTTGTAAGAGTGCAACGTAAATTATTTGTCACAATTCTTGCCATGCGATCCGAAGACCAGTTAACAAATATAACGTGGATGCCCGCCGTGACAGATTTGTACCAGTCTTGGCTACACTTATAATGTTTCTGATTCGCTGTTTAATTGTTTCTACTTCGTAAGAAAGATATATTTTTAACCCTGTTTTTTTTTTTTTAATTCGCTTTCATTTATTCTTCCAGTTTAATAATTCATTTTCGCTTTCTTTATTTGTATTATTTTTCAACGCCGCCATTTCTATTTGTATGAATACCATTTTCAGTCTTTCTTTGATGTTGATTTTCATCCTGTTTTCCTCGTTCTTTTTTCAATTTCAGTTAATTCATTCTTTGTTTTTATAAGTTTTTTGTTTATTTTTTTTTTCATTTTTAGCTTTTTTATTTTTTTACACTTAACTTAAAATATATCTACCGACCTTTTCGAGGGTTGAGCACTTTTGGAAGAAACGAAATTTGTTGGCTGCTGCTGATGATTAATGCTAAGATCTTCGCTATGAGCTGAGCCGGTTATGCATATATATGTGTTAAAAATCCCCGTCCTTCATAACGTGCGCTGATAGCCTCGGGGTGAGATTCTCCAGTTGATGTCAAATCCGTGGCCTGACGATTGCATATAGCATGAAACAGACTGTCGCCTCTAAGTGTTGACTTCTATGTTCATTTTTTTATATATATATATATATATATATATATATATATGACAAAATAAATTCATATCTATATCTTATCTTTAGCTCCATACATACATACACATATACCCCCCACACACACAAAATATATATATATATATATATATATATATATATATATATATATATATATATATATATATATATGTCTGAAATGTGTGTGTTCGTGTGTGTGTGTGTAATAATTAAATGGTTTGTTACTATTAAAGTGTCATGTGTCAGATATGTGGAAGAATAGCTTCTAGAAAAATAAAAATTATAAAGATAATGAGGTTGGATAACGATTGAACCTTCACTTGAAGAGTTTAAGATGCTAGTGTTCAGGAAAGTATCCACGCAGGAGTATGCTGCACAAAAATCCGAATTCGTGGAACTAAACACTGGAGCTCATTTATAGGAAAATAATGTTTGTTTATCGATACAGTGGCTATGATAAGTTTTAGCCACCTTTATTTACAGCAATTTTGGCTTGTATAATAACATGTCTTCTTTTCTTCGGGCAATACCGTGTTATTATCAGGCTACTCTCATCCGTGAACGATAGTTGATCTATATTTTGCAATGAGAGTTCGCGAAAATAAGGAAATTGGTGAATTTCAACAAGAGAAAATAATAGGATGGCATCAGTGTAACAAGTCAATTAGAGAAATTGCTAGGTTTTTCCAAGTTACTCATCAAACGCTTAATAATATTGTCAATAAAGTTCATGAAGAAGGCCACTGTTCTGTGTAACAACATTTAGGAAGACCAAACATCGTGTCTAAGCAAAGGAAAGGGGCGCTGAATGAAGAAGTTACCTTGCAATAATGTCGAACTGAACATTTTATTTAATCCATACGTGTAGATATTTTTCTTTCCGCTTGCTTGTCTGGTGCTATTGTTTCTTGTTAATGTCACTGTTCATTAGTCCGATTCTTGATAATGTAAATAATTCCTTCTACCAAAAATGTAAACAAAGTTTTGTCTATATTTCTGAAATGAGGTATTGCAATTATTTACATTACTTACATTATTCGGACTGTTCGGTCAAGTCACTAGATCCAATCAACCCTTTTATCCACTGCGCCATAAAAGCGTTTGTTTCATCCAGTGATTTGTGAGTTCAATACCTGGCTACTGCGATGGTAAAAAAAACCTGGAGAGTTGAATTAAATGGAGATAACTGAGACATCGGGAAAAGTCATGGCATGTGGAACTAGAACAATCTACGAAATAAAGGGTTCAGTTCGAAATTCTAATCATCTGAATAAGGCCGGAGTGTACAGAAACCGAAACCTCGTGTTTTACAAATACTTTCATGGCAATTGCTCCGAGGAGCTGCATTCGCTGGTTCCCAGACGTCATGAGTTCCAGCGCCTTACGAGGCTGGCATCCCGCTCTCACCCTTTCACTGTCGAAACTCTTAAATGTAGACGTCTCTTCTACTCCAATAGCTTCATGTCTCGCACCTCTCGCCTGTGGAACTCCCTTCCCTATTCCAGTTTCCCTGATAGCTATAATCCCCAACTATTCAAATGTAATGTCAATCGACATCTCCAGTTGCCTTGATCTATCCACTATCCATCTCCTCACTTTTTCCTTTATCACTCCTATCTGATCTTGCTCCAAATTTTCTGTAACCCTTTGCGTCCTAGTGATTTCCCGCCTTGCTTGGGGTGAAACGCTTAAAAAAAAAACAAAAAAAAAAACATGACAATAAAGATGAAGATAACAGTCCGAAAACTGTAAATAATATAAATAAACAAAAGGTGTTCATATGACGTCGAAACAAGCAGTCAACGACTGCTAGTTTCGATAGTCCTATTCCGATAAATCATAGTCCAAATAATTCCTTCGTCTCCTTACGGATTCGAACGTCCGCTTTGCGACTGTAAGACCCTGGTTCAATTCTCCACATACTAGATTTATCAAGGAAGTATCTTTTTTATGTTAAGACATAATACTTGATGTCATCACAACGAGCGACACCGTTGCAAATTGCCTGACTATCATATCACGTGCTGACCCACGCCTTGTGCGTGAAATTGGGTAGACAGAACTGTTCAGAAGACGTCGATGCTTGTGCTAGCAAGAAATCATTGTTACCGAGGGTATATTCGGCCTTTGACCTTGGTCAAACTACTGATCGTACTAGATTATACCCTTTCCTTTAGAAATAGTAAATAAGGTCTTTTCCGCATTGTTGCAGTATACACCATAGTTGAGTTTTGTCGGTGTTAAATAAAATAAATATATTTGTGTCTGAGCGAGCGTCTGTAAACAAATATTGACTAGACACCCTAGCAAACGAGTGTAATCCAAATCGAGTAGCCATCTTAAAATATTGCATTATTTCCGTTTCTGTTATAGCATACTTTCGGCTCCAGTTATACCAGTCTTTCTTCTTCGATTAACCGTTTATAGAATCAGAATCATTTACCTCGAATCGTCCTATCTTTCTCATGCAACGCATCTTCTTCTTCTTCCTCCTACTACACCTCTCCGAACATCTTGCATTCCTCTTGTCATCCTCGGGGCCTACACGTTTGATGTGCGTGTCACCCGCCGACTGCCATCATCCGTTTCCACAGAAGCGTTCTGATTTGTTTCGCTGTATGATAAGTGTTATGCACAAGGACGCCGATATATTTCGGATTTCTAATATATATATATATATATATATATATATATATATATATATATATATATATATATATATATATATAAAGAAAAAAAAAGGTGAAGACAAAAATCAGGAAACTGGATCGAACCTCGAAAATCTGACAGCAGTCGTCTCCTAGGTGATCAAAATGAACAAAAAAAAAAATATTTAATGGGAGAAAAGAAAAAGAATAGAAATGAAATGAAGAGGGTGGGGTAGAAAAGAACAGTACATTGAAGAAGAAATCGAAAAAATTGATTAAGGTAAAATCAGAAGTAAAACTGAAAGAAAAAAATGAAAGCAAATGAAGAATATGGAAGAAAATCGAAAAATGATTTGGAGTAAATGTATAGCAGAGAAAGAGAGCGAAAGAGAGAGAGAAAGAATGAGAAATTAAAAAAAAAAAAATCCTTGGAGGTAAAATCGTTAGAATGCGATGCGTAAATATAAATAAAAGAATAGTAAAGCAGCGAGTTGGACGGAAGAAAGAAAAAAAAAAAAAAGGAGACAGAATACAACAAACGTGATGAAAGCGAAGGAAATGCTGAAAGGCGTAATCCAGACGGGAAAGCGAGGAGATGAAAGAGATGAAAAGGGAAGAGCGATTGAAAAGGAATTGAGAGGAGAACGTGCAAGATGAAAGCGAACGCAGGAAAAATTATCAAGTGGACAGCGAGGAGAATGCAACGAGTGGGCGAGAAAGGAAAGACGGAAATGGAATTTGAGATCAAACGGAGCCGAAGACGATGAAAACGAAACGAAGAAGCAACGAACGGAAAATAAAGAGGGAACAAACAGAGAGGAGGAGGGAGAGGAGGAGGAGGAGGGAGAGGAAGAGGAGGAGGGAGAGGAAGAGGAGGAGACTTGAATGAAATATTGAGTATGTGAAAAGAAAAAAATTGAAAAGAAGACAATTAGACGTATTGAAGCATTGCTTGGAAGGAATATGTGCAGATAGAGAATAAGGAATAAAGAATTAAGTTGAAAGATGAAGAATCGAAGGATAGGAATGATCGAGGATGAAGAAATGAAGGAAGAAAAAAAAAGGAGGGGAAAATGGATTAAAATTAAAAGGTTGAAGGATTGAAAGAAGAAAACAAATAGGAGGAAGAATTAAAGGAAAAAGAAAAAAAAAAAAAAAAAGAAGGACGAAGAATTGAAAAAAAAGGGGAAGAAGAAGAAGAAGAAGCAAAGGAAAAAGATAACCGAAGGTTGAAAACTAAAAGGATGAAAAATTCAACGAAGAAAACAAGGAGAAGGAACAAATAAACGAAAAAGAACCGAAGAAAAAAAAAGAAGGATAAATAATTAGAAGAAAAATTAGAAGGAAGAAGTAAAGGAAAAAGGTAACTAAAGAAAAGAACTCTCCCTCCTCCTCTTCCTCTCCCTCCTCCTCTTCCTCTCCCTCCTCCTCTTCCTCTCCCTCCTCCTCTTCCTCTCCCTCCTCCTCCTCCTCCTCTCTGTTTGTTCCCTCTTTATTTTCCGTTCGTTGCTTCTTCGTTTCGTTTTCATCGTCTTCGGCTCCGTTTGATCTCAAATTACATGACAAAAATTGAAAGAAGGTAAAAGAGGAGGAATATGTAATGGAAAAAGAACTGAAGAAAAAAAAAAAGAAAGGTTGAAGAATTGAAATACAAAAGCAGGAGGAGGAAGAAAAGGAAAAATAACTAAAGAAAAAGAAGAAAAGTAAGAATTTAAAGGAAAAAGAGAAGATGAAGAAATATGGAAAAAAAAATTGGAAGAATTGAAGAAGGATGAAGAATTAAAACGAAAAGAGGATGCAGAAGAAGTAAATGAAAAAATAACTGAAGAAAGAAAAGTAGAAGGTTAAAAATTGTAAGAAAAGGAAGGAGAGGAAGGAAAAGGATAATTGAAGAAACAAAAGAAGGAGAGAAGAAGATTAAAGAAAAAAATGAGGAGAAAGTTAAGAAAAAAAACAATGGAAGAAAGAAAAGAATAAGTGTAAGAATTTCAAGAAGAAAATAGGAGGATAAAAAAGTTAAAGAAAACGAACGTAAAGTAGGAGGAAGAAATAAAAGAGGAAAAGTAAGAGGAAAAAGAGAAGTAAATGAAAAAAAAATAGCAGAAGAAAAGAAGGAAGGCGCAAATTGAAAGAAAAAAATAGGCGTGTAAAGAAGGGAGAAAAATGAAAATGAAAAAAATAAGAAAAGAGATATAGAGAAAGAGCACATGAAATAAAAGAAATAACGAAGAAAAATGAAATAAGTACTGCATAACGAGGGCAACGAATTGAATATAGAAAGAAGAAGGAAATAAAACAAGGAAGCGAATAAAAACAACAAATGGAAAACTTACAAGCGCGGGAAGAAAAGATAAAAAAAAACAAGAAACAGAAACAAGAAAAGAGGTGAAAATCGATGGAATGAGAGAAAGATAAAATTTTCAAAGGATGAAGGAAAAAGAATGAAAAATCGAAAGAAAAACACAAAGTGCAAGACAATGAGAAGAGTAAAGAAAATACGAGGAACAGAATAGAGAGAAGAAATAGAATGAATTGAAAAAAAAAGAAAAAACAAAAAAGGATAAAAGCAAGAAAGTTTTACAAAATATTAATAGAGCTGTAAAAGGAATAACAGGTAGAAAGAGAGACGGAGAGAGTAAATACGAAAGAGAGACGGAGAGAGTAAATACGAAAGAGAGACGGAGAGAGTAAATACGAAAGAGAGACGGAGAGAGTAAATAGGAAAGAGAGAAGGAGTGAGTAAATAGGAAAACGAAATGGAGAGAGTAAATACGAAAGGTGGTTAATTCAAACAAACAAGTACCTCTACAAAGAGAACTTCAAGGACAAGTTTAAAACAAAATAAATTTTTAAAAAAATCTCAATACTCTATCTACAAAGAAAACTTGGAAATTTAAGGACAAGAAAATTTTCAAAGAAAGTTGAGGCTAGGCAGAGAAGCAGGAAATAATGGTTGATCGTAAAAGTGATGAATAATTGCAAAGAAAAATCGAGTGAACGAAAAAAGGAAAGAACGACAAGATGAATAAAGGAAAGAAAGAAAAAAATATATAAAATAGACATAAATACGCGAATCTCAACTAAGAAAAAAAGGAAACGAACAAGAAGAAAATAAGGGATCAGATCAAAGTGGAAAATAAGAAGGGAATAGAAGGAAGTTCAGAACACGTTATCTCCATGTTGATGCCTGGAGTGCGATCGAAGAATATAATGAATGGGCGGAAAATTGAGAGAGACAGAAACAAAATTGAAAGAAAAAAGAACGACAGGTAGTTAGACAAGTAAGAAATAAAGAATGAAAGAAAACAAATAAAAAGTAATCGAGAGAATTGGAAGAAAAAGACAGAAAGAAAAATAAACGAAAAAAGTAATAAAGAAAAAGGAAGTATATGTTTCGTAAAATGAATATGTTGTCCCGGTAGCAACAAAATCAAGATGGCTGCTGATTCGTGAAAACTGATAGCAAAAAGAGATAAAATATAGCGGCGACAAAAAATAAAGTGTGCTTTATAATAAAAAAAAAAGACTTCTCAGCAAAGAACACCGAATGATGACATTATAAATATTTTAATTGATTTACCAATAGTGGCGCGGGGGATTCACGAAATACAGCATAAAGGATAACTCATAATTTAATTCTTTTTGTTTTGTTTGTAAATGCAATTAAAGCAAAGTAAGATAATGAAAACAATTCTTTATAAACGAGACTGGTCAAATTGAACATTGATATGGGATAGTGTCCGATCCTCACTGTGTGCCCTATTCAAAATTTAACATGAAATAATCCAAAAATGTTGGCATATCATATAATCAACCAGATAACTAAAAAGTCGCTTCGGCAAGAGGTAAAGTTTAGAAAGGCAGTTCTTGTTAATCCATACGACTAGCGAGTAAGTTTGATCCCCACTGAGTGCCCGATTGAAAATTTGATTTGAAACATTTCAACAAGTGTTGAGATGTTCTAAAATCAAGAAGCTTAACTAAATAGACGTATCGGTTAAAAAAGGCGATATTTGTTTACCATTACAAACGAGTTGAGCGTTCGATCCTCACTGGTTGCCCTATATAAAATTCGTCATGAAATAACCCAACAAAGCTTGGCATGTATTATCATCCATCCTAACAAAAAAGAGACCATGGCATGTGGCAATGTTTAGTGAGCCATACTCAACGTAATAGAAACGGTCGATTATCTCTCTCTCTCTCTCTGAGCCAAACAAAAATCCATAAACGATAATATGTTGATTAAAATGTCGACGTCAGACGTTTTCGGTTTTAATAAGACTTGTGTTTTTTGTGAACAAAATTCATTAAAATCAAATTCAATGAATTATATGAAAATATACATAAATATACAAAACGTCTGACGTATTTTATTTTATATATATTTATATTTTGTTTGTTTTTCAAAATACATTCTGTCGGATTTTATCCATTTATATATATATATATATATATATATATATATATATATATATATATATATATATATATATATATATATATATATATATATATATATATATAAATGATATATATATATATGTATAGTAAACCTTCTAACCGAACGCTCCTTCGTGGCCAGATCGGTAAAGGTACGCCGAACTAAATGACGGTTCCGTATAGGATACAGGTCCGAATACTGTTGGAGGACGAATATTTTCTGTGAAGATTTCTCGGACATTCAGGACGGTAAATGTTGTTTAACACTGTTTTTTATAAAAAGAGCATTTACTTAAATATTTGTATCTATAAAAAGAATGTTAAACCTAAAAATGTTTTAATATATATATATATATATATATATATATATATATGAAAATTTCTCCGATTTAACCAGTAGAGAAGACAATATTTATGAATAGAAATGACAATAGTAAAAACTGGTAATTGCTGACGCGTTTCGTCCAATGTGGACTTTATAAAAGCAAAATACGAAAATGTAATTAATGAACAAAGTAACTAATAAAAACAAAAACAGAATGTACCTAGCAACTGGAATGTAGAGAAACGCTATTTTCATATTTTTTAACTGAAAAATAACGTCAGTGATTGTCACGTGTGGAGAATATTGTCATTATATCTGTGTTGATGTATTCAACCATTTTCTTTCGATTTTATGAATCTGTTGTGCATATTTGTTTGTAAGAGCATTAATTTTGTTAAGAAAGGTGAAATAGGGAAAAAGCCTGGGCGTAGATTAATATTTGGGTAATTTTCTATGGCGGCACTCTCCAGAATTATATATATATATAGGTAAAAGAATAAGTAATCCAAGTAGATCCTATCAATATAAAATATTAAAACTGATCCACAAAAGAGAGCTCAATTTATTTTTATTATAGAGTATATAAGTGAATTACAATTAATAAGGTCTAAACAATTTACTGGATTTATCAATGCAAATACATCAATTTGCATTGATAAGTCCAGGAAAAAACTACTGTCCCATGGACGAAATAATCATCTGTAAGAGGTAAATTGTTTGGATCACATTAATCGTAATTCACACACACACACACACACACACACACACACACACATATATATATATATATATATATATATATATATATATATATATATATATGAATCATTTCCTCCCAAGCAAGGTGGGGATGCTACTAGTACATAGGGGGTTGTCTAGAGTGAAGGAGAGAGGAAAGACTGGGTATGGGGGGATTGAGGAAAGGATAAAAACTGCATGGGGTTAAAAAAGATAGATGATGATGATTGATGTTGCATTTGAATTTTTGAAGATTGTCGTTATAATGGTAACAAGGAAACGAAAGGGAGTTCCACAGGCGAGAAGTGCGAAAAAAGAAACTGCTGGAGTGGAAATGGTGGTTACATTTACCTAATTCAACAGTAAAAAGGGTGGGACCTAGATGCCAATATAGTAGCACGCCTAAACACATGTAAACCAGTCATCAAAAAAAAAAAAAAAAAAAAAAAAGCTCATCAGAGCAGTAGAGCAGTAGACAGGAAAATATTTGTAGAAAAGACACAGGGAAGCTACGTAACGTCGGTGAGAAAGTGACTGAAGTCAGATTCCAGGTCAGGATCGATTACATGGCAGATACTTCTTTGGAAATTGTCAAGAACCACGAGGTTGGTAGCAGGATTCGACGGGTTGCTAAGATACGCGCATACACATGGCCGTTTTGATATACGCATGCAGATGATGAACTATATATATATACGCATACAGATAATCGATTAGATATACACATGCTGACAGTCGATTAGATTTACGCATACTGGTGATCAATTGTATATACGCACTCAGATGGTTGATATACGCAAACAGATGGTCGATTTGGTATACGCATAAATATGTTTGATTAAACATAAAAACAGATGATGAAATCTGTTGTAACCTAGAAAAGGTTACTTAATGTGGAATGACCAAAACGGAGGTTGGCAATGAATATGGTAATTTTTTTTTATAAGATTAAGACAATACAATACTATAAAGAGGCGTGAAAAAGATAAACTACTCCTAGTGGTGAACTACTTTGTATATTATCCCTACTTACAATAGTGTCCAACGTATTTATGAGGATTGGGACACACACACACACACACATATATATATATATATATATATATATATATATATAGAGAGAGAGAGAGAGAGAGAGAGAGAGAGAATCGACTATCTCTATTATGCTGAGTATGGCGTGCCCAATCAGGAACATACCGACTTCTTATGGTATGTGATTTAGGATTAACGAGTCATAATCAACATTCTAGACTCGCTAAACATTACCACATGCCATGGTCTCTTTTTTGTTAGGATGGATGATAATACATGCCAAGCTTTGTTGGATTATTTCATGACGAATTTTATATAGGGCAACCAGTGAGGACCCATTAGTGTTCATAGGTAAGGTATATAACAAAATCCATGCTTTATTTGATAAAAAAAAAACAGCCTTACACTTTTATGTCCTGTGCTCTACCAGGACGTGAGAGATCATGACCCTCCACAAAATCCTACTCTTCATAGGTCTTAGTAGTATTAGTCTTTTCCCTGTCTTTTTTACTCCCTGTCCAGCTGTTTAATTACATACGCTGATTAGGAACGTTACTTAATGTTTCAAATGCTTGCTTCAGAAATTGTGATCAGAAAAATCAAGAACATTCCGACAGATTTGCAGTCGATGATAATCAGCGAAACAGAAATAGGAAAAAGGCCCAGGCTACACGACACGAGATATCACAGAGATATTCCATACTCCACATATCTCATCTGAGTGCTGTATGGCATTTGAAAACTCTTGCATACGAAGATCATTATGACATTTGGGTACCTCGTGATTTAAAGCAAAAATGACAGAACCGCATTTTTATCTATGATTCTTTCTTAAAAGGCAACAAGAAGACACACTTCTAAAAGAATGATCGCAGACGATGCAACGATGTCTATATTCCATAATGTAGAGCGAAAACGATCATAGAGAAAATGAAGATCCGGTTTGTATCCGGAGAAAGATTTTATTTGATTGATTCATTCATTTTCTATGATTGGCAGGTTATTTAAAGCCAGAAAATAATTTTAATATTTTTGGGGATAATAATGATTTAGTGATACAAGTCAATTTTGGGGAGATAATGATTTATTGATAAGATCTTGACCAGAATCGGCTCACCGATATATGGTTACAAGCCTCTAACCAGAACACTCTCGACACTCCTTATAAAACTTACCTTAAAAGCGTTATGCTCCAGAAACGCATCTGTCGGCCAATTTTTGGTGTGTGGTGGGATAAATACAATCTTTGTTTTAGTTGTTTCTATTATTATTTGTGTATGTTTCCTGCTTTGTATCCTGTAGAGACGCGTCCAAACAATGGTCCTTAGGCCTTATAGGAGAATTGTCATTTAACTGTCAGCACTTTTTCCTATTAGGTCATTCTTCTGGGCAACTATTGCGTTGACGTTACCTGGGACGCTTTTAGTAAAATTGTCCATTCTTTTTCTCACAAAGCCTATTACTATCGTTGCAGTCTCAGACTTCATTGCCCACATCCTATTAATCTCGATCTCTAGATCCTTGTATTCGGAAAATTTCTCGATAATTTTTATGGGGGTGTTTCTCACAGTTGGTACTGCTCTGTCAATAAACATAGAATACCTGAATTTCTTGTTTTTTTTTTTACCATAATATCCGGTATAATGTCTTTTATTCCCCTGTCAGATTCAATTAGCATGTCCCAGAGGAGAGTTACACCGTTGTTTTGGGTAACTGTGTCTGGTTGGTGCTCATATCATCTCTCAGTGGTTTCGATTTTGTGCTTCTTGCATATCTTCCAGTGCGCATGTCGCTAGCTTTTTATGTCTGTAGGTATATTCATTATTATTATTATTATTATTATTATTATTATTATTATTCAGTTGTATAAGCATGAACGCTAAAAACATTAGGAACTTATTTTATATTGTAGGCTTTTAAACCCAGAAAATATTTTTTATATTTTATTAATATTTTTCTCTTTGCGATGATAATGATTATTTATATAAAAAAAAAGAAATCTTATAATTAATGCAAATCTAGGGAGAGAAATTGATTCATGCCTTCTCCAAACGGTATTTGTGCATAAGTAAATATAACGAACCTAACTGGAATTGGAACTCGGATCTCCCATTAACAATTCCGTGACGTTACCCATGACACCACCTGCTCACCCATGCTTGCAGAACCTGGAATTACAAAGCGGTGACCCATCTAGATTATAATCAGGCTCGAGGTTGCTTACCTTAGGTGATCTTGTTTACGTGATATGGCCGTAGTCCCTGAAAAAGTGATGATGTGTATCTGATAGCATTGGAAGCTCATTGTATATTATAAGTTCTTTTCGCAAAGTGAGAAGTCGAATTCAGAGGTATACTGTTCCCAGCGGGACAAATTAAAGGTTGTAATCAACGTGAAGAGCTCAGAAATGGAAAGGCGTCTTAAAGGCCAACCCCAGACCAAACGTACCTTTGCAATCCTACTAGAAATTGGTTACCAGTTGGCTGTTATATCCAACTACAACAACCAAAATCATCTGAGCAAGTACTATCTGATTACCGATTATTTGGATCCATACAAAACACTTTTCATGGGAAGATGCTCAGTACTATGGGGAGCTCTACGTGTTCTTAACCTAGGAAAATGAGAAAACGCTGAGAAATTTTGAATTGACCGAATAATTTGGAAAATGCATTAGAATTGGAAATAAAATCTCTTTTCCATAAATTGGGCAGGCACAACACAGTACTGATAGCAGACACAGAAAAGAAATTACAATGCCTACAGAAGGTAGCGACGGAGAGTGAGAAGAAAGGACTAAGCATAGTCAAGAAGAAGGCAGAGTACATTGTCGTCAGTAAGAGGATGAGTCCGAAATGCGATTTGAAAGTTCGCAACACTAGAATCAAACAGACGCGGAAGTTTAAAAATCGGGGAAGCGTCTTGACAGAGGATGGTAAGTGCGACACTGAGATTCGTAGACGTATTTGGATGGCCAAGGACACATTCCAAGGTAAAGGGAGACAGGAAGATTTCTTTGGTAACAAAGAAAAGAATACTGAACTGTTACTTGACATCTGTCCTTTACGGAAGCGAATGTTGGACGATTTCCTCAAAGATGAAGAAAAGACACGAGGCGACAGAAATATAGTTTTACAGAAGGATGCTAAGGATATCATGGACCAAGCATGTGAGCAACAATAACGTCTTAGAGATGTTGCAAACAAGAGGGAGGCTTAAACTTAATATCAGGAAGAGGCACATAATGAGGAAGGAGGGCTTGGAGAATCTGATACTCACGGGTCAAATAGAGAGAAAGAGGAAAAGGAAAAATTAACAGATTTAAGCAAGTCGATGACAGAAAGTGGTATGGGGGAAAGGAGCAGAAGGAAGGAATTTGTTGAGAGCTGTAAGGGATAGGAAGAGGTGGAGAGCTATGATCACCTACGTCCGGAAAGTACATGTCAAATAAAAAAGAAAGAAGCCACCTCAAGAGAAATGAAACCGGGACTCTGTTAACCGAAATCAAACGATTATCTTGAAAATTTCCACGGCGTCATATACAAAGCGTATATGTCGGAAAATAATAATAATAATAATAATAATAATAATAATAATAATAATAAGAAGAAGAAGAAGAAGAAGAAGAAGAAGAAGAAGAAGAAAAAGAAGAAGAAAACAGTTAGTCACATGACAGTGTCAAAATTAACAGAAAAAAATAAAGTAAATGATGAAGAGTAAGGAGAATAATGAATTCTTTTTTCGTAAAGCCTTAGAGTATTAGAGAGTTATCTCCCTTTTAAACTTGTATATGCTTGTCAGTGATGTCACCTTCCTTTCTTCACCTCGAATCTTCGCTATGTCAGGTCAGCACACATGGCGAGTTGAATGAGGATTGACGGGATATCACGAGCACTGACTCATTCGTCTTCAAATCGACAATCGGATTCGCTTTCATTCTCAGTAAATATCCATATATTTAGGCCCAAGACAGGGATACGTTCCTTAAAAGTATTTATCATAGTGAAATATATAATATATATATATATATATATATATATATATATATATATATATATATATATATATATATTGACTTTGATTTGTTATATATTAATATATGCGGGTATTCTAGTAATTGCTTAGAAGTCTACATGCATTATTTATCTGTCTGTCAGTGTCTTGCCGTTTCAATGTTCTCCCTCTTGCACTGAGGCGGAGAAAATTGTAAAAAATAATATGTTAAACATAAAAACTACATTTGAAAAGATAACTAAACTAGACTCAATATATAATAAATGCAATTTTATGGAAAATTCTAAGTCACTTGTTGGACAAGCATATATACCTATTCTAGCAGATCAATAGCCTCATTTTGATGAAGAGTTATATAGATTAATTCATAGAGATAGATAGATACATAGTATCGGACATATACAAACAGACAGGTAACCTCCTATATTCAAGTAGATAATATTCTATCTATCTATCGATCTATTTCAAATATATATATATATATATATATATATATATATATATATAGAGAGAGAGAGAGAGAGAGAGAGATTGATTATCTACTAACAGACAGCTGAATTCCTACAGACAAGTAGCAAAATTATATATATATATATCTAAAGTTGATATACTGAAGCTAAATGACAAACTTTTATCAGATTAAAGCTATATATATATATATATATATATATATATATATATATATATATATATATATATTGGTTTAATATGTGTAAAAAGTTTGTCACTTAGCTGATGATGTTACCTTCAGTATCTTCCACTCATCATATATATATATATATATATATATATATATATATATATATGTATAATTTTTCTACATGTCTGTATGAAGCTAGCTGTCTAACAGTAGATTATATATATATATATATATATATAGAGAGAGAGAGAGAGAGAAAGAGAGAGATGGGGAGAGAGGTTTACTTAACTCTGTCCGCCTACTCTTCTGTAGTTATAGGCAATTTTCTGCAGTTTTTTGATACCCATAGCAAGAGATAGATAGATAGATAGATAGATAGATAGATAGATGACCTCCTGTTATACGTAGACTGGCAGATAGATGTCTCTCAATTTCTCTGTTTTATAATCCGTATGGATAATCCCAAGGAGGGTGTAATTCAGAGAGCTCAATGTAAAAACAGAGCGAATATTAGTTAAATTAAAAACATACAATCTTAAGGTTACATAAATTATATTTTATTTCCCCAGGAATATGACTTTTTTCCTGGTTCCACAGATCACATTTCCAAGCTTAAAAAATGATTTAAAATTTTACATATTATTATTTTTATACATGTTTTGGAGGGGTAGTTTTAAGTTGCTGTTAGGTGATAGAGAGATGGTCAGATGGAGGAATACCGATATGATTGAAATTAGAGTGTAAGGGAGAGGTAGGAATATGTTTAAATATATCTTTATTAATATACGTAAGGGTGGTAGAGTAGGTGCCAGGCATTTTGACCTATTTAACAAGTCCTTTCACAGAAAAAGGAAGAAGAACAAAAAAAAAAAAAAACGATGAAAAAGAGTTAAGGCATGATACAAAACAAATGGGGAAGTATGGGTGGGGGAAAAGAAAGAAAGAAAAAGGAAGAATAAATTATCAAATATAGGCATATTGCGGTTAACTTCAAAAATACAGGTAAATATAATTAACACTTGGCATTATTTTAAAGTTGACCAACAAAAGATTATTATTGCACTCAAATTCATACAATGTTAGTACCACAGCAAATATCTCATACGAAAAGTTACTATGAAAGTATTTATAAAAAAGGGCGGTAAGCAAATGACTGAAGCCGGGCCGCCAGATCAGGACCAATAATATTGCTGATTCTCCTTTGGATCTTATCAAGGAGTTCAAGATAAATAGCAGGGAAACAGGACCATATATGGCAACAATATTATATATATATATATATGTACACACACACACATACAAACACACACACACACATATATATATATATATATATATATATATATATATATTCTGTTTATACAGATATTTAAGTAATTGATCTCTTTATAAGAAACAGCATTGACTACATTAGCCAGCCCGAATGTACGAGAAATTTCATAGAAATTATGTGTCCTCCGACAAGAATCGAACCTGTATCCTACACTGAACAGTCATATAGCCTGCCGTGCTATACCATTTAGCTACAGAGGAAGCGTGTGTCTAGCAAAGTCAAATTCCTGCCTTTAAACATCAAATTTCTCATGATTTTTCAAGAATGCTCATATCTGCCCGAAGTGTATCTTAACGTAAACAAAATATTTCATGTGTTATGAAATGGACTAAGTCCGACAATTATTTTGATATATTTTCTGTTTATATGTTATTTTTATATATACGAATATTTAAGTAAATGCTCTGTTTATAATAAATAATGTCAACTAAATTTACCGGCCTGAATTTGCGAGAAATTTCATAGCAAATTTGTGTCCTGCGACAGGAATCGAACCTGTATCCTACACGGGACCGTCATATAGCCTGGCGTGTTATACCATTTAGCTACATTCAACCGTTATTTTTTTTTTTATGGGTACACGTATTTCAGTTGCTATTTCTGTTTTATTTTTTTATCGTCTTCGATAGTGAAAATAATAACAATTTTTAATGGACAGCATTTCAAATATGTTTACCCGAAAAAAAATATACCTTTTATAGGAATATAGAAATGATAGCTAAAAAATTAATTTAAAAATTACTGTCGTTTAGGATATGAAACTGAAGCTAGCAGATATAGACACATTAAAGTCCCTACGAGAGCGCATATCCCTTTAAATAGGTAATTCAAACATTGATTAGTATGACACAAGACCGAGTTTAGTCTTTATGTGAATAATAGTAATTTTGAGACAACTGTTTGCTTTGGAAATCAACATTCAGCATTTTCATTTTGACTGATATTGAACCAAGACCTCCGGCATTGTTGGCCTTTTTTTTTATTGATACGTTTTCTAAGGTTTATCAATCTTTTGAAGTTTTTTAAAGCCAGAAAATATTTTTAGATTGTAAGAATATTTTTTGGAGAGATAATAATGGTTTAGTGATACATGTCTTACAAATTAACTCATAGCTGGGGAAAAAAAGGTGAAATATGCACACATTTCCTAAGGGCGTTTGAACGTATGTGAATACAGCGAACACAAATGGAATTGGATCTCGTCTCTGCGATTAATTATTCCGAGCCATTGACCATTACACAGATGCTAACATCTCATCAACATCCATCCATTTGAAGAACCATTAACAGCACGATGTCACGCATAGCGATTTTTCAAAATGGGTACTCTTTTATTTTGTACGCTACCATCGTAGAGTGTTCTTACATTTTTTAAACTGAACATGTTAGTATGCTGGCTCTTCCAAATAGCTTCATTGATTGTTGATGTTCTTCATTTCAAATGCTTCTTAGTCCTGGGTATGACAATAAACAAACATACAGCAACAAGACTCCTGATCAAGAGATTGGAGGTTGGGAGGAGCGTGGAATCGCCTCTTAATTACAGTTGTACCAAAGTCTAACCCGACCCGAGTTGGGAAAATAGTGTTTTCATTTTTATTTTCTCGTACATAGTGTACCAGTAGTAGTATATTTTTGTAGAAAAATAACAGTTAATACAGTACTATAATACAGAAATACATTTTTATACTAAAAATACCAGACTGCATTCTATAATCTACAAACAATATACAGTAATTTCTCGAAAATAATACACTTTTTTTTTACTATAAATTACAGGTGATAATAGAGGTGCGTATTATAAATAGGTTTAAACAACAACATATTTTTCGTTATTGATTTATAATATTAAATATGTACTTGTTGTTCTAAAATAAGAAAGATATTATCCCAATTTTCATTTTAAGTCCAACAATAATTATTTTAACATTTTTTGCCAAAAAGTTTATGTTTATCAGTAACCGCTTTTTTTATTTGGTGAAAAAATAAGAAAAATCAATAAAAAAAGCCAATTTCTAAGAAGTTATGGAACATCTACTTGAACGTCATTCTTTCACAAATTCAACTAAACTTTGTTCCATATCTGGATATTGAACATTTCTTCCTTTACCTATGGTTTTGGCTCTTGATTTACACGTTTTTAGTTCATTTTTATTCTTTTTCCATAAACATATGTTAGCCTCATTCAACTCATATTTTCTATCTGCAGTTTCGTTTCTTATTCTTTCTGCTAATTACTTTTCGTTTAAAATTTGCAATATAACTCGCACATTTTGACGACATTTTGGTGGTAAAATAAAATGTTATATTTATCGGGAAAACCGCCTGGTAATTTTCAACATTATTTTAGCCAGAGAGTTACGGTTTTATTCTTAATGCCAAGGTCGACAAAATGTCTTCGTAATTATTATTTTGTTTTGACAAAATTTATAGATGTGTATTATACATAAAGATAGATAATTCATTTTTGGATCATTTGCTGGTGTGCGCTTTATTTATGGGTGCGTAATATTTTCGAGAAATTACGGTATTTCAAAAACACACGTTTTCCCTGAAAATATAAAATTATATACAAAATATCTGTACTTGAAGCCATAAAATGGTGTACAAAATGTTTAGATTTTGGTATCAAAAAACCAAGAGCGGTTGATATACTGCTAAACAAAAACAACCAATCAGCTTACATTATATTTAGTCTTTTTTTTAAGTGTGGATGAGGTTGTTATACTTGAATTCTCTGCAAGTTTATTGCCGATAGATTTTGGTAGGATTCCGTGTATAGAAAATAAAGCACCAATAAAAAAAAAACGTCAACACACAATAACATCAACTATGAACATGGCCACAATCTGTTAAACGTGTTTGAAAAATAAAATATGCTTACAACACTAGATCCATACAAAAGGAATGCATGCGTTCAGTTTAAAATAAAAATAAAAATCATCCTTGATAACGGCTAAAGGAATAGCCGAAAGGGCTCGGATATATTTGGACATTTTTATACACATTATGTCCAGAAAAGAAAACATCTTATACCAACTCAAAAAAAATAAATATATTAGTTTATACTATATATATATATATATATATATATATATATATATATATATATATATATATGTGTGTGTGTGTGTGTGTGTTTGTGTGTGTTCTTTTCTATTTTCTGCATACCTGCGCACTTATACATACTGGCTCCCAAAGCAAGCTCGAGCACTCTGAACCTTTATTTTAAAATAAGAACTTATATATATATATATATATATATATATATATATATATTATCATTATTAAAAGAGGCTATAACAAGTCTCTAAAATTTAATTGGTTGATGAAGATAAACCCAAACTTCTGTTTTTATTCAGTCCTTGTGTTTTTTCACCCTCTCCTTCTAACTTTCAGAAAAGAGGTAACAATTTTCCTTTAAAATTTTCTTAAAATTATTTAATCACCATCATTGCCTGAAGAGGCAACACTTTGCCGAAACACAAAATCTATTGTGTTGCGACTTCAACATGTTTTTATTATAATCCCTTATAATAATAATAATAATAATAATAATAATATATTGCTCTACTTTGTATTGAGTACTTTTTTAAGAAAATGTAAATACTACGAACAGCGGAATTTTACTTCATCTGTTCTTTTTCTCATTTGTATATATATATATATATATATATATATATATATATATATTTGTGTGTGTGTGTCTGTGTGTATGTATGTATATACTTAATTAGGAGTGGAGAAAAGTTTTCAGCTTAAACCAAAATCTATTTCATTAGAATATCTGATGATAATTCATTTGGTCAGATCATCAGAAATGGATCAATCTCAGAACATTTCATTGTATATATATATATATGTGTGTGTGTGTGTGTGTGTGTGTGTGTGTGTGTGTGTGCGTGTGTGTTAGTGTGCGTGTTTTGTGTGCAGGCATGTTTCTTTGATCTTACACATTTTTTTTTAATCTATCCATCGATCATGGTTCATAAGACTTCTCTGTCTTTCGATCTCTGTCAGAATCTGTAATCATTTTCCGATTATATTTTCTCCTCCGAATAA